GAATAAAACATTACCATGGCATTAGCCATTCGCCGTGGTACAGCGGCACGCCTAAAATACAATCACAAGTGTGGTAGTCACTCACCACGTATGTCCGACGCAGCGATACCAGCTCGTCCGCGGACGGTGACGAGAACGCGCCGCCGTCCGGCACATGCACCCGGTCGGCGGGGAAGAGCCGGATATCAGCCATGCTCGGCCTGGCCGGGTGGGGACGTGTGTCGGGCTGCCCTGGCCCTGATCAAGATGCTGGTCAGTCCGGAGTGCTTAGCCAGTACTGATAGTAGTGGCGTGGGCCTTCACTGCCTTCAGCCTATACTAGCAGAGGCAAGGGAGATCGCTCAGCGGAGCACGCAGCCTCGCCGAATTACCGAACAGCAAGGGAGACTGTAGACGTACTCAAAGAATCATTATGACTGTAGTACAGTACTAGTAGTGGCCGCATCAAACTATTATTGACCCACAAACAACAGCTAGAAGCGATACACGACGTGTGCGATGAGACCTGAAGCCTGTGAAGGCCACGCTATGGGGGCTACGTTCTACGTTGCGCTCCACTTTACCTTGATCCGAAATGCTGTCAGACACGATCGTAACTGATGCCCAACACATGAAAAATAGTGTACGCCTCGGCGGTCACTGGCAGGCGCCCAAAGGCTTTCCCTTGGCCGAGCTAGGTTGCGCTGAGGTGAGGAGTGAGGGTCGTGCCAGCACAGCTGCTGACAAGACACATGAAGAGTACGTCGTATCATGTATACGAGTGACTGCGGTAGTGCTGCGCCACACATGCGGCCCAACTACAATGCAGCACAGTACAAGATTAGTATGAGTAGAGCTACTACTAGTGGTGCTACGACTAGTATTAATAAAAAAATTTAATGTGAACTGCCGCCGGGAGATGCCTGGCTTGTGCTTGAGCGGCTGAAGCCTAAAGGTGAACGACTTTAGCCTAGGTGAACGACGTATGAAGCCTCGAAGGTGAAGGTGAACCGTAGATCTACGAAGTACGCCTTCAAGCCTTGATTGAAGGACAGGTGATCGCTTGCTCCAGTGTGCCTATGCCTAGGATGACACTGACAGCCACAGACTCAGTAGACAGTCTGTCATAACTCATAACGCTGCGTATCCAGTGAGCTACACGTACGTAGAGTCAGCTTGCATCCACGGACGGCGAGGAAGACTTCCGCGAGCACCGGTAGTGCAATCGGAACCACGGTCCACCGACAGGAGTGTTGAGGACAGACAGCCATGTAACAAGCTCAGTCGTACCTGGATTGGAAAGGTCCAAGACTATCCCTGGGAGTGGACGTTGATAACGACCCACCCTCGCGTTCGGGATTAAGCCAGCTTCAAGCCCAAGGTCGCCAGAAGAGCAAGGGAGATTTACCGCACGCTGTTGCACCGGTGTGAACTGTGATCACTTGGAAACAACTACGACAAGGCCGGGGAATGGCGGAACTGGTAGGGTTGGTCAGGACATGGCCGGACCAACTGTTTGGCCGCCTACCCATTGTTTACTGCTAGAGAGGTAATGTATGATGTGTCCCTGGCTTATCCTACGCAAAGACAATGTCATGACCAGACCAATCAAAAACTGCGTCCGCCGATCCTGTGCACATGTGCGGCTCACTGCGATGATCAATAAACTGCACTGTCTGCAGGTCTCAGGTCTGTGTGAGACTGTGAGAGGAAACCGTTGGCATTGATCGGCCACGTGACACGCAATCATGCATGGCCGCACATAAAATGGGTGTTCGATTCCGGATCCGGATGCGCCGCAAGCTCTAAATATTCGGTGATTCATTATATCGATGATTATGCCACGCGAGATTCGAGCATAGAATTTGTACATCGAGATCTTGGTACACAAAGCACTACATGTATATTCACCTACAGTACATGTACATTGTAGATCTTAGCGCAATCTCTCCCAGCAGACAGTGCTCCATGCTGCGGTTTCAAATCTTTATTCTCACGATAGCCAATGGCCAATAAGAGAGTTTTTGTTGTTGTTGTTGTTGTTGTTGTTGTTGTTGTTGTTGTTGTTGTTGTTTATTTATTTATTTTACATCGCATGTCAAACGGGCAGTTCTGCTCAGTATTATGAAAGCGATGACAACCACAGTAAGAAGAGTCAGAAATGAAGAGAAAAAGAAATAAAAATACGAAAATACGAAAATGGAAGTAGCAATGGGGGGAGGCAGAAAAGGGATCTCAGGTTTACAAGTCGGGTCATCGTAGCATGATTCTATCGAGCCTCATCAGCAGGTTACATTTTAGTCCGCTGGAACCCATTGCCATTGTCGCAATCAACCCAGACTGAACGACATTATCCCGATTGTACTGACTGTTGCGGGTTTTAGTCCTGGCCACGAGCGAAGTATCGACGCCAAAGCGGTCCCTCCAGTATGAACAGGTGGCCACCATCTGCACATCCGGTGGCGGACTTGGATCGCGCTGAGCTGGGACAACGCACTGAACGACTACGTGTCCCACTGTAACATGTACAACTCAAGAAGTCTCAAGTCAAGGCAGGGCAGGGCAGGCAGGACAGGCGGAAGGAGTTTTTGTTTGACGTAACCAAGTAACCAGGCGTTGGCGGCCAAAAATTGTTGGTCCGGCCATGCGGCCTGAAAAACCGGACCAGACCGGTTCCGTCGGGCCTGCAAGGCAGGTACTAACAAAACAGTACTCCGAGTCCCCCTACTTGTAGTGGCTACCACCAAGAGTATAATTGTGTATGTGTGTGTGTGTGGGGGGGGGGGGGGGGTATATTCTCTTGCTACCACGGCACCAGGGAGTACTGCCACTGCACTGGTGGCCACTGTCAACACTACATGTGTTACCAATTTGGATATAACGACAGTCATTCGGGAGAAAGCAAAATGTCGATTTATATTCGATCTGTCACTAAACCCGATCTTCACATTTAGTATGCAATAATGTATTATCAAAATGTTGTGGAAAAATGACAGAAATGTATTGTAGATATACAATGTACGATTCATGTACATGTACAGGTACATGTGGATAACAGATGTGCATTTGTCTTGCATGCATTGTTCAAGGACGTCGACGGTAAAGTCATCCCGCACCGCTGCAATGCGGCTACAACGTGCAATGTAAAGCACACATAATTGAGTGACCCGGAGGTCCGGGCACGTGGCACAGCCATATACCATGTTCCAGACATGCCAGACTGCCTGATACAAGAGGAAAGTCGTTATATCCGATGTATTTTCACTGTTTTTCAGGTCTTCGGGCACCAAAACGTGTCAGTAAATTCGATCTGTCGTTATTTTCGAGGTCGTCCCGATCTGTAATGTACAGAAAGGACTTGCTAAACGACTTGGGCAACAGAATTGTGTCGCTAAACTCGATTTGTCGTTATACCCAAGGTCGTTATACCCAAGGTCGTTATATCCAAGGTCGTTATATCCAAGGTCGTTATATCCAATCTCCACTGTATCATAATAAATCATGATTGTGGTGCTGAACCTTACCTTCAAAGCCAACCCAGTTGAATTACCATGGCTACGGCAGTCACAGTGGCGGTGCACTGGGTGTATGAACCAATGCACGCAAGGTGCCTCCTGACAGTGACCGGAGCAGTGCTACTTCTTGGGAAAGGTATTTTCAGAACACGATCCATTATGATATCCCACGGTGTGACAGTGCTGCTAGCATATCGAAACATGGCAAGGATGTAGAATCTACTAGATGTGCGTCGTGATACATGTACTGCAGTATACGGATTCAGGGTTAACACAGTTAGAGTGGGTTCACAGTCATCAGGGAGTAGTATGTATTTTACTACTCCCTGGTTCACATCCATCACATAACCTTAACCAAACCCTGTTGGTTCCAACTCCCCACCTAACCAGCCAGGGAGTCGTCAAATACAGTGCCCGCTCACTACCACTAGATATGGCATGCTCTCTATTTCTTTCCTTGGCGCTGATAGGTGGAATTCTCTGCCTGTCTCGTGTCGTCAGGTTGAGCATCTATCCGTTTTTGTTCCCGCTCTGTAAAGAGCACTTAGGGTTCCCTGTAACAAGACGGCAACGTCTGTAGGGCCTTCCCTATCAAAATAATAAATTCTACTACTACTACTACTACTACTACTACTACTACTACTACTACTACTACTACTACTACTACTACTACTACCAGGCGCGTGCGCCAGTGCCCTTCAAGGGGGGTTCCGGGGGTCTCCCCGGGAACATTTTCAAAAAATGAAGCAAAATCCTGCATTTTGAGCGAAAAAGAGGGGGTTCTGGGCACCCAGGAACCCATACGGGGCACGCGCCCGACTACTACTAGTACATGCAGGTCGGTATTTGACGACTCCCTGCATCTACTAGTACACTGTACATGACTGTATGGGTCACAATCAGGGAGTCGTAATATACCGGTATTTTACGACTCCCTGATCACAATCATGATATTGGCCATGTTGGTTGCTGCAGCAACGCCGACACACGATGAACTAGCTGTGTTTGTTTCTCCTGAGCAGTAAATTTGAAAAAAAATACTTTACTACTCCCTAGTACATGGTCCCTGGTTTTTGCGACGTCAGATGCAGTGCATGATACCAAGAGGCCATATGCATGCACTCTTGATGATACGGTATGCCAGTACAGCTGCAGGGAGTAGTTTCAGTACAAACCATAGAAAAGCTGACAGGATCGTTTTTCTAAAAATAAAAAACCAGGTTTGTACGCCTGGCGTCTTGGTAGTCGAAGTAGAACGTGATTATGGCATGTGGACAGTGGAACCAACAGTCACAACTCAGACTCTTTGCCGTAGAACGAGTGCGCTCGCTTATGGCCAACTGTACTCTACCACTAAGCCAGGGAGTCGTAAAATACCGGTATTTTACGACTCCCTGCACTAAGCTTACCCCCACTCACACCGCCCACGCACACACGTGCAGTGCCACATGCGCCAGTATGGCATGGGAACACACGTTCTGTGTTCTTGCTTCGTTTTCGTCATGGACTGCATCGTTTCTTTCAAACAAATAGAAAAAATGGCGGTCAAGACTAGGAGATGCGAGAAATTGGAATTGCACAACAAAAAAACGAACAGGCCATTAGCAACAGAACAAGTGGTTGAAAGTTGAAACACATGCTGCATTGGCTTCACATTGGCATACCGAGGCTAAATTATCATTGTGATGGATGTCACCGAAGAAGAGAGGATTATATTATCCGATATGCCAGAACTAGTGCGATGCCTCAGGCACAGGGGGTTCAGGTGACGTCCGCCTGTTCCGCCGCAAACGTCGTGATGGGCACAGCGTAGTATCCACAAGGGCAGCAACCAGACCAGCCGGATGAGTAGTGAACGCACACACACACACACACACGCATACACACGCATGCACACACACACACACACACACACACACACACACACACTCTCTCTCTCTCTCTCTCTCTCTCTCAAGTGGAGAACCCAGCGAATGGGTGCATACCTGAAACCAGTTGACTAACTCGACGTTGTAAAGAATAGAGTCTCCCAATTTAAAAAACAAACAAACACATTCATTAGGACAGGAGATGGTAGTGAAATAGTGGAATCCAGCCACGTTGATTGCTATAAATTATACAGTGTACTCTGCTCCTACATGTCAACAGGTATCAGATTAAAAGAAAATAATGTGCTATCAAGTCAGCGTTGTGCAGAACAAAACAAAACGGACTCCGACCGACGGAGCGGACCTCTAACACACACGCGCACGCGAAGAAGTACGAATCACGAGACATAGTGGCGGCAGGAAAAGCGGCCGCCGTGAGGGGCGATGCAGCGTGCACAGTGCTACATCAGCGGCGCGGTGTCGGACAGATTGCACCAGGACAGATCCTCGTCGCTGTCCATCGGACACTCGTCCTCTGTGATGCCGCTCTTCAGATGGTCGACGACGTAATCGCACGTGATGGCCGTGCGCTGCAGGATGTCGACAGGCTCTGCGGCGGCCAACGAGGCGGTCGTGCTAGCGGCGTCCGCTCTGTCTGAGCCCGCCGTGGCAACACTATGCTGGGAACTCCCCGGCGCGGGTATGGACGAGCGATGCGACTGCGTGGGGCTGCTGCTGCTATTGGCAACGCTCGTCGCCAGCGGCCTAGGTGTGGCCGATGCAACAGTTGTCGTGGTGACGCCGCCTGCGCAAGCGGCTGCTGGGGCGGCGGAAGACGATGACGTCGTTGATGAGTGCTGCAGCGCCTGATCCGTTTGCTGTGCGCGACAGCTGACCGGCGTGCCCTGCGTGGATTGCGATGCTGCAGTGGTGCCTGCTGCTGCTGCTACAACAGAGCCGATGGATGCATCTCCTTGGAGCGGACAGTCCTCTGCGGCTACTTCACCGGACTCGGCAGTCGCAGACACGGCTTGCGCGCTGTCCAGAGTCGGAGAGGAAGCAGCAGAAGTCGGTGCATCCTGGTTGGGACTTGATGGCCGCGAGGTTGGGTTGTTACCGGGTGACAGGGGCGTAGAGGTTCTTGGCAAGGAGCCGCCGGAGACGTTAGCCATCTCGACCTCCTCGATCTGACTGATGTCAAGGTGGTAAGTCTCATGATACGTCGGCGGCGGCGCAACGCGAAGAGTCCGCTGGTCATTCAGGCCGTGGTAGCGTGGCTCGGTGGCTTCCGGCTGCAGCAGCTGCCGTTGCTGCTCCTGCTGCTCGAGCTGCAGGCGCCGCCAGCAGGCGATGACGGCCGACAGGAGTAGAGAGCCGATCAGACCGCTGCTGCAGGCGACGATGATGCGCAGGTTACGCTCCTCAGTGCGCTGCGCCAGGCCATTGTCCACGTGAATCGGTTTCTCTGCCAGCATCCACATTTTACAACAACACATATTGACACGCATGGCTTATCCATAAAAGCGGGGGGTCTCAACATATTTCAAACTTTCCATTGAGAGAGAGAGAGAGAGAGAGAGAGAGAGAGAGCAAAAGAGAGAACCGAGACAGATAGATAGATAGATAGAGAGAGAGAGAGAGAGAGAGAGAGACGGACATAGAGACAGACAGACAAAGAGAGAGAGAGAGAGAGAGAGAGAGAGAGAGAGACAGGGAGAGCGATACAGAGAGAGAGAGACAGACAGACAGACAGACATAGAGAGAGAGAGCCAATGCTGCCATACATACATACAGACAGACGGAAAGAGAGAGAGAGAGAGAGAGAGAGAGAGACAAGGAGACAGAAAGCAGGCTTCACTCACGAGGCTGTTTCACTGCGGCAGTGGGGCAAGGTAGTGCGTCACACGGTGCAGAAGTGGCCTGACTCGCTGCCTTTGGGCACACCTCATTCAACGGTTTCGCAGCCGGATTGAAGCAGGAGCGCCGGCGTCGCCGGAACCTACTCTGTCCGCACACTGGCTCACACACCGACCACTCGGACCAGGGCGTCAGGCCGGCAATTGCTGTGGACAGCAGGACACGTGCATAATTCGACACAGTAAAACTCGGTGCACATAGAGCGGCTTATACTACTAAACGGAGGAGATGTCTGTATTTCGTGACAAAAAATCTGGCTGCGGCTTATACTCCAGAAAATAGGGCACTGTAAGACATGTAAATATGGCGAGGAAGTAAATCTAACGTTTTTACTACAGTGACATTTCCTCGTTAAAGTTCTGTTGAGGCTGTAATGCCCGTATGTGTTATGTGCGGATATGCCTGAAGACTGCAAGATCGCTAACGACGGTTACGTATCTTCCCGTTAACCTTTGAATTTGGGATAATCACTAAATTTGCGACTCGTTATAATACCATGTCTGACAGACAGTACTTGAAGTCCATGTACATGGCATTGTATCTATGTGCAGTGAAGTGGGCGCACAAAGGAGATAGCGTCTGGGTCCAGCAGAGAATGACGTTTGGAACTTACCGTATAATACAACTTACCGCATAATACTGTTGACACCCCCCCCCCCCCCCCACCACTGCCACCACACACACACAGCATCGTTTTCCAGCTGGTGTTTCGACAGGGACGGCAATTCACCACCCAGGCTGCCGGTGCAGTACGGTGTACATATACAACAATACAAACAACCTTCAGCTCAGTAGGCGAGAAGCACGTGAGTGATGGCGGACAGTGAAATGTGACCCCATCAGGCGGGATTCTCAGCTTTTTTTTGCGATGCCCAATGCGAACTCGCGAAACGCCACACACGGAAGAAGTCAGCGATGTGACGTCGCTTTGCTGATTTGGCGCGAAGTTCAATGCAGGTGAGTACATCACCATGGTGCATGTATTCGCTTGGCTGGGCACAACTTTTACAAGTCTGGAAGCAACTCTTGGACCTTTGTACAACTTTGCTGCAGAAAAAGGTCAAAATCGTCCAGCGCATAGCATATCGCATCGGAAAAGTTGAGCCAAGCTCAACTTTTGCGATGGGCCAGTTTACAGACAGGGAAAGGAAAATCGTATGGCAGAGTGCAACAACGTTTGTACAGTGTGAGAACCTTAGCGCACTAAGGTCACACTTAGCAGGTTTTTGTGTGGAGCTCGTGTCCGCTCAAAGGCAAACTGAGTACGGATTACGTGCGTACAAGGTTCGTGTCGTATGACCCACAGACAGGACACCACCTCCACATTGCGCCGGCGAGAGGACGAGATGGCGGGGCGCTCTGGCGGTACTTTACGGTACCAAGTACACCTAAAATAACATGCTATATAGTACCTGCAACCTGGACTGTGGCCCAGTCGATGGGGTGTTGCGTTAGCTGAGTGCGAAGCACGCACTGGAGCGTCTGCGAGTTGACTGAAGCGTTGAGAGTGACGGTGGTTGAGATGTCGTTACCGAAGCCGGTACCACTGGCCAAAGTCAAGTCAGACGCCGCCGATTTCAGCTTCCAGACTACCGACACACCTTGCTGCTGTTCGAGCTCGTGGCCATTGTCATCGGCGATCGCCCGGCAGAAGACCTTGATGGGGTGCAGAGGGAAATTCACTCCATACTTGACCGAGTATTTCTGCCTGGACTGCTCCTCAGCCGTGCTATCTGCCCATACGTTCAGATGAGTACTTGCTGCAACGATACACACAAAGCACAGCACACACACACAGAACAACACATACGTACGCATGATGTAGCAACAACAGCACTGCCTACTGGTGCAGCTACATCAGAAGGCACCCGCGTACAGGCGTTGCCTTGGGCCTGGAGTTGCCTACCCAGGACCACAATTTTGTGAACGGCTCTCCACACTGAACACTGTACCGCAACTACTTACACGCTTGGAATGGACTTCTTCAAAGCGTCTCATGAACCACTCGCAGCAGCTTTGATTCTTGGTGCTGCACCTGGTTGCCTGATACTTGTGCCCTTGACAATAACACTGCTGGCTGGCACAGAACTCCTGGTAGGAGGTTCCAGGCCTTTGCAAAAACGATGCTTCTACTCAATCTCAGCAGGTGGGATCAACTTCTCCCGGGAAGAAATAGCGTAAAAGCCCGTAATAAGACCCTGGGCGGAAACGTTAGTGAAGGTCCAGAACATGGGCGTCAATTTGGGCCTGGGCGCTAATGTGGACCCAGGCGTTATTTCGGATAAGTGAAATCAAACTGATTTTCACATCAACATGCCGTCCTGTGTACCGAGTTAGCACTGTATACTGTACACTATACTACCGTATAACTAACGGATGGGACAGAGGCATTGTACAGATCCCGTGCATTTAGCACTTACCATCGACCATGAGTTACAAACCTATCGTCGTTGTCTGTTATTCTTGTTTTATTTTTTGATCTTTCGAATAGATCCCATGCATTGAGCACCTATCATCGAACATGCGTTATGTGCCTATCGCCTGCTGTCTTACATTTATTTTTTACTTTTATTTTTTGTTTTCCTCTCTGCCCACTCTGCCTGTCTTCTGGCACATGCGAATACGTGGACTTACTGTTGACGTAAACGTGGACGTGCGTATAATAATAATAATACTACCATATCGTACATACAAGTGGAGCTGCGTATGCACTCCACTGTGTTCTGGGCCTGTGATTTCGCCCATGGGCGTTCACACGGAGGTGGGCTAGAAAAAGGGACAAGAGTGTTGACAACCGGCATGTGGGCGTTATACTTGGTAGGCGTTCATACAGGCTTTTACGGTGCGCATTGGATTTCAGTCCTTCATGTACAAAATCAATGCACGCCGGTAGACCACCACAGAATCTGCATGAGAGAATTCATCACGGGACGGAGGCTATACTCAAAGGATGGCTCAAACTAGTGGTGTGCACAGGTAGCCGGGTACCCGTGAGGACCTCGGGTACTGGTACAGAATAGTACCCGAAAACCAGAAGTCACAGATGACATCATGTACAGTGTACGTGTACAAACGAGAGAGCTTGGAAGCTCAGCGCCCTACGTTATGCTTTTTTGCCTTGATGACCTAGGCAAAAAAGGCATAGGGATGTTATAGATTTTCTTATAAATTTCTCCTATTTTTTTTCAGACATAACCTGGGATTCGAACCCGCACTATCGCCCTGCATGCATCCCCCGATACACTTCACATGCATACTAATTCTTCCAAGTGGCTTCACGTTATGATCTTGCATTTCAAAGCCCTATTTGAATATTGTGGCCAGCTGTCTTTGATGGTACGGTACGGTACGGGGCAGGTACGGTCGAGGGTAATACGACAACGTCTACCGCCTTAAAAAAAGCATGAGGATGATATAAATTTTTCAATTCTCCTATTTTTTCAAGGCATAACCTGGGATTCGAACCCGCACTATCGCCCTACATGCATTCCCCGATACACTTCGCATTCATACTCATTCTTCCAAGTTGCTTCACGTTTTCATTTTGCGTTTGAAAGCCCTATTTGAATGTTGCGGCCAGCTGTTTGTGGCCAGCTGTCTTTGATGGTACGGTACGGGACAGATACGGGATAGCGCCAGGCGTGACACAAACAAACAAACACCAAATTAAAGCTGTGTGGACCCTGGCTAGCGCCAGACGTTACTGAAGTAACGTCTTCTGCATAGCTACGGGAATTACTGTAATACTCAGCATGTCTAACCAGTGTGTAAGAGAAGGGGCCGGTACGCGGTGTGCATTGTGGTGCTACCATGGAAACATTACCCGATCGGGTACCCGTGCTACCCATGGAAAACTACCCGAACCCGATACCCGAAGAAAATGCTACCCACCTGATCCCAAGCTCAAACCCATATAGAATATTCCAGTCGGAAAAGCGCCAGGCAAAATTCTCCCGTGCCCTTGCTGGTACAATTCATCCGGCACAGAAACTACTCTACTCTGAAGCCAGGGCGGAGTTTGACATGGAATGTTCAGCCTGGGACAAATTTGATCTCATTTTCACCTTTCAACAAGTTTATGAGTGGGCAATGAAAAATTGACGCCGACTTTTCACAACGGTAACATCTTTTTTCTTCAACTTTGGAACAAGCTTCATGCTACCTCCCCCCCCCCCCCCAGATCAAGTTGAAAATTCATAACGTGACAGCATGCCAACACTAGGCTGACAACCAAGTGTACAGCATGGTACAAGCAGGCACCATGCAGTGTTTTGTGAGCTGTTCTCAGGGGCGTGCTCGGCCCCCCAACTAGGGGGGTGCACGGGAGCCGAGGGGAGCCCCCCCGGCAATTTTCTGCAATTAAATTAATAATTTGTTTGCAACCTTTCTTTAATTTTAGAGCATATTTGCATACATTGCAATTGCCTTGGATCCCTGTAAGCCAGGTACTTCGCAAAGGCACAAAACAGCAGATTTGTGGATTTTTCCGGAGACTGACTCATTACCAACAATGAACAGTCATGGATTATTGATATGAAGTAACTGTTATAGCAGCTGAGGAAAAAAGTGCACCCATTTTGGTCAGGGGATGGCCCACGCCTGAAAATAAAAAGAGAAACAAAGAAAAAAGCAAAAAACGGCACCCATTTTTTCGCTGCAGCAACAGCTCCCGCAGCAACAGTTGCAGAACGACCGAACGCTTCACTTAGAGTTAGCTGCGGCAGCGTGGTAGCTTTGCGCTTCAATGACGGCGGTCGATTTGACATTATGAAAAGAGCAGCTCAGTCATAGTCAGATATCCATACTTCAGGAAAGAAATCAAAGAATCCAGACCTGAAAGCAAGAAATCGAAACCGGGATAGAATCTGACTGTCGCAAGGTATTAATGTTTATGCTGTGCACAGTGTAGATCTACATGTAAAATTCTTGTTGGCGCTGCACGTGTACGTGTAGAAGGCCGTTTGCATGTGTACGTGTCACATCCGAGGTGCAGTCTTATTTTTTTTTAAACCCAGATTGAAAATTTTGGGGGGGTGCACGTGCCCCCCGTGCCCCTTGCCGAGCACGCGCCTGTGTTCTGGACGTCCAAGGTTGCACTCAACTAGGGCAGAAACTCCCCGAGACTAAGGACAGCCCTGAATCTGGTTTCAATCATTGCAAGTCATTTCTGCCACTTTCATCCCTTTCTTGGATGGGGTCACAAGTAATAATACAATTGTGTGTGTGTGTGTGTGTGTGTGTGTGTGTGTGTGTGTGTGTGTGTGTGTGTGTGTGTGTGTGTGTGTGTGTGTGTGTGTGTGTGTGTGTGTGTGTGTGTGCATATGCATATGCATGCCTGTGTGCGTGTCCTGGGCATCACTCAACAGGCAGTCTGGAGAGTGACCAGATATCCACCACCCAAGTTCTGGCAAACTGGAATGACACCAAGCAGAATAACATTCCAACTCGCCTGCTTCGATGCAGGATGTAATAATGGCTTGGCCGCCTTGCCAGGATGGACGACGACAAAACTCCTCACCAGCTACTGTTCGGGTTCATTCTACCCACATGTCCTGCATGTGGTCCCCGGAAGCGTTGGCGTGATGCTGTCCGAAAGGACATCCGTCGCCTAAAACTTCCAAGGAAATTGGTTAATGTTATTGGAACATTTACAACTGCTTCACCGCCACAGCCGGCCTCCCGTGATCGGATACAGTGCAGAATTCGTATTCGTAAAAGGTCATTTTCGCAGAGCGGCCTGTCACGTCGCAAATGCACCCAAGAATGCCGCAAACCTATAGCAGACCAGGTCAGCAGCAGGCAATGCATCGATGTTGTCGTTGGTTCCGTAGGCCTGGCAGTCCACAAATGCCAGAATGTGCCCCCCCCCCCCCCCCATTTGCTACTCCGGTGCACGGCCATATCACCCCTGCAGAACCATCATGTGGCTCCTGTCAACAGCTCTCACTACCTTGCTGCCAGGCCCACTGCAGCTCATGCGATCGGTGCTCCAAATCAACTCCAGGGTTCCAGCTGCACACCTGCAACAAATGGCTCCAAGAAAAGTCCAGGAGATCTCGCTAAGGCGTCACTGTGAAACAATACCTCAGCCAAACTCTCCGTGTCTGTCCGCCTTTCCCATGAGGGGTCATGTAACCGGAAACGGCAATGTTCCGGACAGGACAAGACAGGTGTGTGTGTGTGTGTGTGTGTGTGTGTGTGTGTGTGTGTGAGTTGTAGTTGAAGAGGTCGGTTGCACTTTTCTGGGCTCTGACCGAAATGGAAGGATAGCTGCGTTTGCAGCCATGGCTGTGTGGTGTAGACCAGGCCATGGTTGCTACAGCATGTCCCAGTGGATTTGCGCTCTGCTGGGAGTAGGTACACAAGCATAAGCGAGACGAGGCAGTGTTTCTTGTTTGAAAAAATTTCAAATTTTCGAATAGTTGTGGACGAGGATGAGGACGATGCGGAAGTCGAGGAAGGAGCGAGAGACTCTCAGTCTCTTTGTGGCGAGCTGGAATGTCCAGTCCCTTGTAGAGGACACAGGTGATGCCAGGATATGTAGGAAAAACAGGCGCAATGGTACCACCTTGCTCAGGACCGGAGGGACTGGCGCGAGCGTATCCGTCAGAAGCCACCAAGCCAGCCCCAACCAAGAGTGTTTGTCTGTGTCTGCGGCCGAGACTTTCGCCGTCCAAATGACTTATCCCGACACAACAACTACTGCCTCGCCTAATAGCTATCATCGCCTTTGGCGATTGGCTTTCCAAAGGTCCAAAAGGTGTGTGTGTATGTGTGTGTGTGTGTGTGTGTGTTTGTGTGTGTGTGTGTGTGTATGTGTGTGTGTGTGTTTGCATGCAATGCAAAGGCCGCGGTTCTAGAGGCCACATGACTTGCGATGCGTGGATGTTACCGTTCGTTTTTTTCTCTTCTGGTCTCCCGCTTTTGGGAGTGGGGTGGCCCGACAGAGTACATGTAGCTGTATGGAGTACGAACTGCAGTAGTACAGTGTGTGTGTGTGTGTGTGTGTGTGTATGTGTGTGTGTGTGTGTGTGTGTGTGTGTGTGTGTATGTGTGTGTGTACGTGTGTGTGTGTGTGTACGTGTGTGTGTGTGTGTACGTGTGTGTGTGTGTGTAAGTGTGTGTGTGTGTGTACGTGTGTGTATGTGTGTACGTGTGTGTATGTGTGTACGTGTGTGTATGTGTGTACTGTGTGTATGTGGGTATGTTCGTACTGCAGTATAGATTCTTGGTTAACCGGTTGGAGGAAAGCGAATCAGCACACGAAGCACAGAAACCATACAGTTTCGACTAGGCCTTTCGAACCATTACTTTTCAAGTCGAATACAATGATAATTATTAACATTAATGTATGTATGCAGTACGTGAGAAAGTGTGCATGTAGTGCTTGCGTCGTGCTTGCGTACGCATACACACACGCCCCGGCGCGCGCCCGTACGGAACAGATCACTGAACCTACAAGGCTACATGTACTAGTAGCAAGAGTACATAAGAGTACTCTTGCTACTAGTACATTGTAAGATGGTGCATGTGTACGTGTGCTGTGCATGAGAGAGCAGCGAAACTGCTCTTGATGCCACGCGTGCATCCTGCCAACCACCAAGCAAACCGGTGGGTGCACACATAATCGGGCCAGAGGTAAAAATCATTGCATGGAGGGTTTCTACAAACTCAGAATCGGACGAAACACGAAGTTCGAAAAGCATGATAATGAAATTGATTTTGACTACTTATAAATACCATCACCCAAAAACGTCAACATTTACACTCTTACCGGCAACATCCAGTAGAGATAGCGATATGACTGTATAGGAAATAAAACCCACAGCATACAAAATGGTTGGTGTTGGCCAGCGTTCTCCCGCCGTGACGATCAACCACGGACGTACCGAGGAGAGTGAGTGGTGCTACCAATTTGAGAGCTCCCGCATATCTCTCAGGCGTCATAGCTTAGCAATTTCGGGACTTCCTGCTTCACGCACCGCACTCCAGATGGCAGTGACAACCGCTTAGCATTTTTGACAAGCGAGATCGTTCTACTAACAGTGCCAAACATGAAAACGAATGCACACACCTAACTACTGATCTACAATCTTCGGAAACTCGCCTGAGCATGAAGCTAGAGAGGTTTGGAAATCACAAAAAAACCATGGACTTGCATAAACTGCTGGACTACAAAATAGACTGCATACCCGATCCCCTGTGCTGCGAGGTCAATCGGTGTGGCGACCACGAAAGTTTCCGAAAGGGACGAACACGCGAAGGCGCGGCCGCTTGCAGTCCCGGCACGTCATGACATGAGTCAGGATCTAGGACTCAGGCCTCCATGCGTATGCGTAGCATAGATCTACACTGTACGAAAGTATGACAACAGCTGTGTGTACGGACCGGTAGTACTATAAAATTGTATAATAATTACAATAATGCTAAGGGACCATCGCAAAAGTTCGCAGAAGCCCCTGAAACGAAGAGCATACGTTTGGGGGGGGGGGGGGGGGGGGAGGGAGTCGGTGTCGAAAATCGCAAACCGGGCTTCAATTCAAAAAAGTATTAGAGAGGTTTCGACCCGCGTGATTTGTGCTCTTACGTGAACGTCAATTTTTTGCGTCGACGCGAGCTCAGAAAGAGCTTTCGTTTCACGTTGCTTGTGAAGCACGTCGTGTCGCTGACGACAGGAGCGAAAACTGGGAGCGAAAACTTCAAAAAGTGAAAAAAGCAGGGAGTCGTAAAATACCAATTTTTACGACTCCCTGGAAAAAAGTGATTTTTGGTGATGCCAAAGTCGCGCAAATATTATTTATAGCTAGTTTAGGCAAAATCGACAAATCGAGTCAATAATCCCAACCTGGTAGCAAGGCTAAATTTGCAAAAACTCGCGTTCACGTCGAACGTGAGTTGACCTCAGCTCACGTCATGAACGGAACTATGCGATTATTACCAGAAAAATAATAATATGTAGCGCAAAATAAAGAGAAGGAAAATAATAACCGGTCAAGCGCTAAATACAAACAGAAGAAAAAGAAATCATAAGCCAATACGCGCTAAACTGCGCTTAAATTATAATGAAGGGAGAAAAACTGGAATCCGCGGAAATTATAACATACAAAATGATACAGAGAAAAAAGGGGAAAAACTGGGGGGAACAGACAGGTTGTCTACAGATGACACTCGGAGACAGCAAGTGTGGCAGAATATGCATGAGGGTCATACCTGCTCGACTTGTGGCGATGCCCACGAAGGCATGCCACGGCCGCCTTCACGAGAGCAAAGGACAGCTGGGCTCTGATCAAAGCCATTGCCACAGAGAAAGGCTCACCATTCTTCTCAGACTTGATGCCTGCAATGCGGCCAAAGAGAGTGGAGGCTGCCTTCCCTTGGCCACCAGTCGTACTGAACACCACGGGGATAAAGGAAGCGTGCTCAACGTTGAGAATGCGACTCTCATAACTCCTCCGTTTCTCCTCTTCGTGCTTTCTGTAGCTGCCAGCGATCGTTGGTTTCCGATTTGAGGGGGCAAATGGGTTGAAAACCCGGACATCTAGAAAGGTCCTCTCAAACCGTCCACCGTGTAGACCGCTGACAACTACATCCAGCCGAGCTTGTTCTGCCGTGATGGTGGACCGCAGCGGAAAGCGCTCACCGGTCACAGGCTGGAGGTGCGGCTCAACATGAACATCATGTGCGACGTCGCGTAGCAGTGCTGCTGTGAGGTCTCGGACCTCGTTGTGCCGTAACGAGGGATAGCCACCGATGGCACATGACATGGCATGGGTGGTCGAGAATGGCTTTCCACACGCGCATGTTGCAGGTAAGCGATCAGGATCCCATCCATACCTGAGGCATATGGCATCGCGGAAGGCGCCCTTGTGCAGGGTGAAGCCATGCCTTCGCAATGGCCGACATGTCAGCCAACTTGAGGCGCCTTTCTCCGAGGCAAGCTGTAGGGTGCGTTGCAGGTCTGGCTCGAGTTGGGCCATCAGGGTGACGACATGGTCCTTCTCCTTCTTTCCAGCGGCTGTCCTAGCTGTTGCCTTCAGTACCCGCATCCGCCCTGATATGCCTTCCATGGATGACTGCTGTTGGATGATGTTATCAATGAGTGCGTCATGAACGGGAGTTTCGACGCCAAAATTTGCCACACCGACGTGAAATTTCACGGTGTAGTGCAGAACAACGTGAAGCGAAACCTCTCTATTGACTACATGTAGGTGCATGGGGAATGTGAAAGCAATATACACCAATCAACGTTCATTGTAATGCTCAAAGGATACAACTGCATAGCTCTAGCTGTTCTCGTTCTTAGATCACCCACTGCAAGGTGATATCATCGTTGCATTTATAAAGTGCTGTACATTGTTACACACTGATACAACAATGCTTGTGTAGTATATTATAATAATTATTATGTGTGAGCATCCAAGTGAAATAATGAAGCCCATATTGTGACTGTCGTTTCGTTTGAGGGGGGAGGGAGGGGGTCAGCCCCGAAACTAACGGTCTTCGTTTCGGGGGCTTCTGCGAACTTTTGCGATGGTCCCTAATGCAGTGAGGTTGGGCAATGGGCACAACGAGTTTGTATTTTTATTTACTTGAAAAGCACAAATCCACTAGGAAAGCTCACAACGAAAAAAGAGTAAGACAAATAAAGAGAGAGAGAGAGAGAGAGAGAGAGAGAGAGAGAGAGAGAGAGAGAGAGAGAGAGAGAGAGAGAGAGAGAGAGAGAGAGAGAGAGAGAGAGAGAGAGAGAGAGAGAGAGAGAGAGAGAGAGAGAGAGAGAGAGAGAGAGAGAGAGAGAGAGAGAGAGAGAGAGAGAGAGAGAGAGAGAGAGAGAGAGAGAGAGAGAGAGAGAGAGAGAGAGAGAGAGAGAGAGAGAGAGAGAGAGAGAGAGAGAGAGAGAGAGAGAGAGAGAGAGAGAGAGAGAGAGAGAGAGAGAGAGAGTTAGGGTACGGTTTTTGGGGAGGACAGGACATTGAATGGTGGTCGCCACAGTCACGGATAGTAGCAGTGCTGGTGAGACTACAGGCACTCCATTGACCTATACGGCAATAGGTGACGCACCAAAAGGCAAACACGGAAGAAATCAAAAGTACGTTATTAGTATGGACTCCTCATGTTATTTCTATAACTTTAGAACCTTCCAAGTTGGAAGGCTGTTGGAGCCGGTGCGCATCCAAGATGTGCTAGAGCTAGTTTAATAGTTGTAGAACGTCAGTACCGTCGGTCAGTGTCGTGCAATGTTATCGCTTGAGCTGATTGTTTAGTAACTGGTGGTCTTAGAAGGTTAGTATGGTGTGCTTCAACGCACATCCCTAAACCGAGAGGTTGGATCAGGAAAGAACAGTGTGGCGATCAACATGATGGGCTTCAAAGCACGGCCTTAGAGTCTAAGACCATGGCTGCTCTGATATGTGTTTTGTTTGTTTGTATTCTTTATTTAGAGTGGGAAGTCCAAAACAGGCCCTAGCCTAATAATAACAATGGTCCCACTAGTGAGGGAATGCAGTATATCTGTGCATAAGCCTAGCGGATCAGTTAGTGTAACAGCAACTAGTAGGGAAAGAAAAAGAGAGAAGAAAAACAACTCAAAACAGGAGTTGCGACTTGCATAGGGACGCCTTTTGTATGAACCCATCAGCACTCGTAGGTCGGAGGCTGGCAGCCTGGCACCCACTGGGCTAGCATTCAACAGCCAAAGGTGGGGCCATGATATGTGATGGTAGGTCATCATCATGATTGATTGATGATTGATTGATTTTATTTTACTTCGCAAGTTCAAACGGGTTCCTGGCCCAGTTATATGAAAGCGAAGGATAGAATTTGCCAAAATCCTAATGAGCAACAGCATAGGCAATATTATCATAGAAGTGGAGTACTATGCGAGCGAGAATACTGAGACGAAAGAAACATGTCAAACCTGACGAAACACAACCTATTTCAGGCATACATAAGGAAGGCAGGCTAGCTTAAAATCTTGCAATCTGGATACGGTGCGCACCTCTCTAGGCAAACTGTTCCACAGCAATGCTCCTGCGGTGGCGAATCTCGTTTGGCCACACCGACTGCGAGCTTGATCATTGAATAGCCTCTTCTACGGGCAAGCAAAAACGCAATACTAGTGCATGTACATCAAAATTCAATTAGAATGAAAAAAAAGAGGAAAATGAACACAAAGTGAACTGGAACCAAATATAAAAAGGAACGAAAAATGCAGGTCATGGTAGGTCATCATCATCATCATCATCAGCTTGGTGCGCGTGAAGCTCACCGCCAAGGGCAAAAGGCTCTTGTTCGATGGCAGGCGGGCCGCCAAATATGGCAATCAAGACGTTTATATCAATCATGACCTTACTCCACAAGAGCAGGCCAGACGACGAGAGATCGAGAGGCTCTCCCTCACCTCAAGGCCCTACGTGAGAAGGGGTTTCCGTGCACGCTACCCAGGGACGAAATCCTGAGCAAAGGCCGCCCGATGTCCTCGGAAGAGATCTCAGGGATTCTGGCTCACAGCCCATCGGGGCAATAGGATATGCATGGGAACCCCTCGACATATGCCATGGAGCCACCTGTGTTAAATGTTGAACTCTCTATCGCCCACATTAATATTGCTAGTCTAAGACACAAAGTGCATGACATTCATAAAAATACTGCATGGTCATGGAATACACGTTATGTCAGTCAACGAGATATGGCTGGATGATTCCATCAGTGATGCGGCCGTGCACATTCCTGGCTATTCAATCTTCCGCCGCGACCGGGATCGGCATGGCGGTGGTGTCGCCCTCTACATCCAAAGCACCCTGCCCGTGAAATTGCTGCCACTACCATCGCTGGTTACAGCAATGGTAGACTCTCCTGAGGTGCTTTTGGTGGAGATTCGCGTGCCCAATTCAGTTAGAGACGATCGGATCACTGTGGGAACTGTTTATAGATCGCCAGCACAACCAGTCGGTTTTTGGGACGGACTCTCCTCTGCTGTTAACTCTATCATAGCAAGAAATGAGAAAACAATCCTTCTCGGAGATTTAAAATGTGAACGTACTAGACACCATATCTCACCAGTATGGTCGCCTGCGCCAGTACTGTCAGGAATTTTGTTTTCGCAACCTTGTGACCCAGCCGACACGACCGCTTTCCGGAAAACGTCTTGACCTAGCGTTGT